TGTAATTTAAGTTATGGTGAAGGCTATTGTAATTATGAAAATTATTCGTTTTTCAAAATCAATTTTATAGAAAGTTTTTATATTTCCTAATAAATACAGAATTTAGGTATAAATAGTGGTCTAATTTATATCTGACATTCATTTATTGTGTATAATAACTGTAATAATAATCTGTTGTTAAAAATGAAGTCAACAGTAATTTTGCTCTTAATTCTCACTTTTGGATCAAAACAGATATATTCTGATAAGTAATACAATTAATGGTTAATTAGAATAAACATGATAATAAATAATAACATTGATTACAGTCCAAAAGTGGCGGCAATGAAGATGTTTAAGGCGCTAACAAACCCTGATGTTTACGACAAAGACATGTCACCTCAATTGGGAGGTAAGTAATATTGGTGTTGAAACCTAGAATAATACTTATTGATCATTAAATGGGTTATATCTTAACACTAGAAAATGCACCTGTAACAGTTAACGTGACCATGTACGTGATAGAGTACGAACACAATCCATTGGCCAGAGTTAGCATTAAATAATTATTTTCAATTATATGTGTAAAAATAACATAATTGACCACATTATGGGACATACCATTACCCACAGGTGATGAACGCAATGGTATATTTCCGTCAGCGTTGGACTGACCGGCGATTGTCTTCGTTGAGCGCCGAAGTTATTGGAAGTCAATCACTGGCCGATCGGCTTTGGATTCCCGACACCTTCTTTAGCAACGCTATTGACGTGAAGGTCATGTCTTACCCGACGGACAACGTCTTCGTTGCCATATATCCGGGCGGAGGCGTCCATCACAGCCAAAGGTGTGTTTTGCACAATATTTATTCACAATTACCATAATTGTGATCAACACTTGTATCTATTTTAAAATTTGTTTATTACTTGAACGCTGATTATGACTACAATAATGATTATATGTTATAAATTAAAGCTTGGTTATTTTATTTGATGTGATATTTAATAGAATACAGCTAACACTTCGGTGCAAAGGACCGCCGCCTCAGACCCACAAAAACACCAAAACTACCGACATTTGTCTCATTGATATTGAGTCGTGTGAGTGATACTGAGATAACATTTTTATTTCATTTGATTACAATTAAACACTTGACTACATAGACGGCCATAATATGACTGACATTGAGTACGATTGGGGTAATCGGCCGAACTCGGTCGGTATTGTTGATGGATTTGACCTTGGTCATAAATTTCTTCTGGCTGGCATTAAAAGCAAGACCGATCGGATACAATTAAGCACAGGTTTGTTTAATTTACAAATTCACCAATTACTTTTTAGTGAAATTTTGTGTTATTTATATGATTATTCTCAGGAAAATATTCAAAACTTATGGCAGAGTTTGAGTTTGTGTGCAGAGACTGTTCGCCCAAGCAATCACTTGATGCGATGTTGCATGGTCATTAAATTGTAACAATTGTCATCGATGCTATTTCATTGGTTTATTAATATTCAAATTATATAATATAAAATTTACAAAAGTATTACTAATGATTATCTATACATTTATTTGACGTGAATTCACATCTACAGTACTGTATGTTATATTTACTAAACCTCTAATTACATTAATTTACTAATTAAATTAAATTAATTGTTTTAAATATTTTAAACAGATATATAATAAAATTATAGATTTATAAAATGTATTTATTTTATTATAATTAGTACTGGTAATATTGAATACAAATAAATCACTATCACATTTATTTATGCAGTATCTAAATCAGTATCACATCTATTTATGCACTTTATTACATTAAATTAAAAATATATTTTGTACACTTTTCTCAGTAATTACTTAATTGGCAAAAATATTATTGAAACCAAAATAAATATTTATAATAACTATCAATCAAATTAATCTCTATTTAATAAATCGTCATTTTTATCACTTTTAATCAAAGAACTCATTCATTATAACAAATTTGTTCAATAAATGTATAATATTTATTGATTTTATACTCAATATTTAACTCAAATTTCTTATAATTATAATACGTTTGTATTAATAATACTCCAAAAATTTTAACCATTTGTTTAAAAAAGTTATCAAAAATGAAATATCAAATACTATTGTTTTGTGCTATAATTTGTGGCGTAAAGTCAATGCATTTTGATGAGTATGTAATGAAAACAATTTAATTAAATATAAATTCATTTAATAAAATTATTTTAGTCCAACATCGATTGCAATGAATAACTTTAAATATATAACAAACCCTAAGTTGTACGATAAGGATCTTAGGCCTAATTTAAAGGGTAATTAATGTTATCATATTATTTAAATTATAACTTTTAATTTGTAATTTAAAACTTAATATTTTATAGACAATAATACCGTAAAAATTGGCATAAGTTTATACATTATTGATTTTAGGTATCATGAGTTGACCAAGGTTTGTGACAATATTATAATAATATTATGTTATTAGTAAATGAACATAATATTTATAAAATAACAGGAATTGTTTGTAAACTTTTATTTCCGTCAAACGTGGACTGACCCGCGTCTACAATACAACGACCAAATGACCAATGGGGTGAAAGTGGTGGGCGGATTGGCCATCATCAAACGCATTTGGACACCCGACACATTCTTCCCAAACTCTCATTTAGTCGAGTTATTCCGCTTTCCGGCGCCAAACATATTCATGAGTTTGCGTT